AGAAAAATAGGAAACTAATCCTAGAAAATAGGAAACCTTCTAGGAAATCTAGAGCTAAACTAGGAAACTAGAATAATCACTGATTTCCTAGAAGATTTACAGCTATACAATCTTTCCTACAACATGTTTCCCATAAATACAGATTTCGGATTTTAACACAAAAGAATGCCTAAGAAAGTCAAAAGTAAAAATTATTCAAAACACTACTTCAAATAAAACTTGGAAAACACCTTCAGATGAAACCATTCTATCTTCCCATCCTTCTTTGCAAGAAATCATTGTTTCTCATGGAAACACGTAAATACTTGCTTCTCCTTTCAAAAAGACTGAACGACCTGATGATTCTTTTGTTAATGTAAAAAACATGAAAAACATTCAATCCCAAAACAATTATACTAATGTTGTCATTCAATCTATGTGCTCTCAACTCAACAGAATTGAAATCAATTCTGAATATGAATCTTTTGAACCTTCAAATAAAGAGAGGTAAAAAGAAGAAAACAGAAAAGTCTATTCCTTCTTTATGCTATTTTCATGATTTTTTTCCTAGAAAACTTGATACCAAAGAAAGTGTTCTCAATGAACTTGCATCTCAGCTATCAAAACTAACTTCCGCCTCAAATAATATCAATACTATTGACGAAATAAAATCTCAGTTTGTTGAAAAAACTGATCTACAAGTTAATAGACTTCGTCGACAAAAGGTCCAATATTCAAAAATTCCTAATTATTATCCTCGTCATACTCATCCTGATCTGCTCTTTGAGGAAAGGGACCAAAAACAATTCAAATATGACGGAGACTCCATCATAAAATGGAATCTTGATGGATTATTTGAATATCAAATTATTCAACTGTTAGGAAAAATGGATATTTGTTTCACTGCTTACATTACTGACGGAAGTAGTAGGCATGAAGCAACTAATAATCTTGCCCTTGGTTTGCTGGACAACTCAAAATTTGGTGGTTTAATTATCTTACTGCTAAAGACAGAAATAAGATTGCAGCTTCCATCAAAAGTGATGGAACTAATGATAGTTTTGCCTAAATTTATTTGTACGTTTTGTCCAATAACAGTAGTTGAGAATGCCTAAATTGTTTTTAAAGACGTGATTTATAATTCAAATTTGAATTTATCAATGTTTTGTTTATTTAGAAAAACAGAATTTTACAGTTCCCTCATTTTAATTACATGAAAATGATTGTTGGTAACACCTCAAGATGTATGAAATTTTGGGGCGTTACATTATCCTTGGGTTACAAGGTGAAATTTCATGTGGTTCGGAGAAGGGTGTTCCTTATGTTGCCGGAAAGTATGGAATCTATCAATCAAAAGCATCTTTATGGATAGGATTTAGTTTAACAAGTGTAAAGCGTTATCGATTTATTGGGATAAATTTGAGCTTAATTGTTATTTATTCAACCATTGCGTATTCTTGTTTAATTGTAGGTTACATTATCAGGTCTCTTACTGTCTTAGACAATTGTGATGATAAAAACCTATTAATTTTTGTCTAAAGTTTACATATCAGAAATCTTATTCGGTATTCATATTTCATGATGCGTTCCAATCAATATTGACTGAATTTTATTACTTTTCTTTAGTCGTTATCTCAATCTTATTCTTTACTGAATTTTAAAGGTTCAATTGTGGTAGTGCTTCTTTATAACTTGCTAGACTTTGAATTTGAGACTTCCACTTTTGCTGGCAACTTATTTACCTCTTTTTTGTCAAGAACAAGGTAGCAGCTTGTGCAAAGTACTTTGTTGGTGATGGAGGCACAACCAAGGGTATAGACGAAAACAATACTGTGATTGACATGCAAGGATTGCTCAGGATTCACATGTCTGCCTACTATGACACGATGGATAAGGGTGTTGCAACAGTCATGATTCTTACTCCAGCTGGAATGGTAAAAATATGCACGCAAACCACGAATTGATTACTGGATTTCTAAAGGGCAAACTTCAGTTCAAGGTAGGGTCTCAAAATGGTAACATCCATGCTCAGTTATTTAATTTGCATTCGATAGAGGTGCTATTACTAGTTTAAGGTTTTGCTTAGTATTAGTTTCACCTAAGGTTGATAGACAACTTTGCATTGAATACAATGAAGAACTCACATGCTCTTATTCAAATTACACGTGCAATTATAATGTTATCGGTGATAATTCATATGGATTAACTTTTTTTATATTGTACTTTTTTATCTTACTGCTTTTATCACTTTCGGTATTCTTATGTTGAATCAATTCAAACTTCAAAACAACTCGAAACATTTCTGAGTAGCTCTGCTAATTGACGTGGGCAAACCACCAGAGCTTTTTTGTATATGGTATTAGAATGTGCTTTTCAGTAGAATAGACAAGATTTAGCTTCTTTTTCTTTCTTAATACTATCAAATGTTGTATAATCTATATTACAAAACCTGCCATCAGGGCTTTGTTATCTCAGATTGACAGGGCATTGATCGGATCACCTCTCCACCACATTCAAACTACACTTACTCTGTTCAAAAAAGTGTTCTAGCTGGCATCGACATGGTTAGTGGCTTTTATTAAGCATCCATACATTACTGAAATTGGTCCAACTGTTTTCTTGAAAGTTCAGTATTGAACTCAGGAGGAAAGCTTTGATTTTTCACAGATTATGATCCCATACAATTTTACTGAGTTCATACATGACCTCACATACCTGGTCAAGAAAAACTTTATTCCAATGAAGCGTATTGATGATGCTGTTGGGAGAATTTTGCTAGTCAAGTTCACCCTGGGACTCTTTGAGAACCCCCTTGCTGATCTTAGTCTGACCAATGAGGTTGGAAGCCAGGTAGGTTAATATGTTTCCTCTCTGATCCTAGTCAATCTTATTTCTAATGCTATAAGTAATGCTTGCTATATGCTGTAAACACATATACTAGATAAACTCCCTGTTTAGTTCTCTTGAGTTTAAACTATTACTGTGAATGGTCTAAAATCTTCTAATGTAACAGGCACACAGAAATTTGGCAAGGGAAGTCGTTAGGAAATCGCTCATTCTGTTGAAGAATGGAAATGATTCAGTATTACCCTTGCCAAAGAAAGTGAGCAAAATTCTAGTTGCTAGTAGCCATGCTGACAATTTGGGTTATCAATGTGATGGATGGACTATAGCTTGGCAGGGATTCAGCGGCAATAACTACACAAGTGGTACATTTAGCTCCACTTGAGTTTGTGTAGATGAAGTTCTAAGAAAGTCAAAAAGTAATGAAGTTTTGAAGTCAATTACTTGGATTCTAGTGAGTTTTGTTTTGAAAGTCGTTGCAAAACTATTCTACAGGACAGAAACTGAAATGGTGAAGTGAGTATAAAATTTAATTAATGCATGCTAGAAATTAAAAGGGAAAACATTTCTATTGTGGTCCATCTAATAGTTGTTGTTTTCATAGCTCTTGCTTCTATCCATGTATTGCGCTCCCCATATCTGAAATCAATAACGCTGATGTGGATTCATGTCACTCCCTCTGATGGAGTCCAACCAAAATCTTGCTATAGGATAAAGAGAGAGAATCTATTCTCTTTTCTATATAGATAGAATAGCGAGAATCACATTTAAAATAGAGATGATTTTATGTTTAAAATAGAGATGATTTTATGTTTAAAGAGTCTTTTAGATATGTTCTTACTTGCCTAAAGTTTGAACTAGCTCTGTTTTAGGATTAAATCGACTACTTATTTCAAAGCTATTTGGAATTCTTATTTCAAAGTTGTCTTCCTATTCAAAAACTTGTGAATTTTTCCTGTACTTGTAACATTTCTCCTCCTTTATTATGGTGAATTAAAAGTGACCTTCAAAGAGAGAAAGACTGTCTTAGCTTGAAGCATTGTTCTTCCATTCAACTTCTAAAACGGCTCATAGATTTTTATTTGTAGACCAATCTACATATCATCATGATATTTGGTTCAGTAGAGCAAAAGGAAGAACTTCCATTGGATGCAATAACTGTAACAGAAGAGCTCATTGCAGAAGATGGTAAATGCAATGAGAAAAATTTCATACACAAAACTTCTTTACCTTTTGCAAGGCATAACGACCAAATGATTTCCAGGAGAGTTTTGATGTGTAATAATATTTTTTTGGGCTATGCTATGTGTACATAAATGTACACATAGGTGTTGACATAACGTGAGTGGGGTGGGGTCCATGCTACAATAGCGTGGGCCTCACCCCACTCACATTATGTCAACCTCTATGGATTAATCTATGTACACATAGATTAACCATATTTTTTTAAGTGGGATTTAGTTCAAAGGAACACTTAAGTTTGATGCTTCATATTTATGGCCTTTGGCCAAAAATAATAGTGTTTTGTCCAAAATACCCTTATATAAAAACAAATATCAAACCCTTCGTCTTTCTCTTTAGATTTTGGGCGGGAATTAAACTCCACAAAACCTTATACCTCTCCACTCATTTGAAATTTAAAATGAAAAATACTTACAACTTCTATCTTCTGCACTCATTTGATGTTCACTATAAAAAACCTATAATTTACTCAACTTCATTGATTTGCTTAGTAACATTATTAATTAAGCCTCTGTCTGGGAGCAATTATTTCAACAAGAAAAGGATTTTTTTGACCCTTTTTTTTTCAAAAAAGTGGGGTCCATTATGACACAAAGGGGTCAAATATTGTGGCTCAAGCACTGTAGCAATGGTACAAATTCTGCTTACAATTGGAAACAAACAGGCGCTAAATAGTATCATTGCATCTCTTTTCTTCAACAACTTACTTTAAATGCAAGGTAAACTCTTACTTCTGCATTTATTCATTTCCTTTTACATTCTATTTTTAATTATACAGAATTTTTAGAATTTATGATTTGAATATATCAGTTTTCAGTTTCCAGAACGGTAGTGTGACTTTTTTTTTATAAATATCAAAATGACACTCTTTTAACATTTTGGGAAGAGCTATCAAGAAAGAAATCTGCCGTTTTGCGAAGAGCCAAGCTCTTCGTAAAATGGCATACTGTCATTTTGGACTATTCAGAGAAGGCAGAGTTTTGTTTTGTTATGTTTATCAAAACAGAACTCTGCCTTTTTAAATTAGAAGTATTTAAGATTTTTCTTCATGAATTGAGACCTCTTAAACTTAAAAGAGCTGGGCCATTTAAACTAAAGCTTTGTAGACTAGGCTCTTTAAATGGAATCCCCTATTTTTTGTAGCATCAGCATATATTAATGGCAAATAAACAAATTTAGCAGATGCATATAAATCTTATTCGGGTACATGTACTCCAGTGCACATGCAGACGTGACGAGAAAGGAGGTCCAAATTAAGAAGAGGTACAGGTACCTTCCATCAAACATGTAAGCCAGTGCCAACGCAGACATGAATGTGCCATTTTTGATACAGAAGAAGAACAGAGATGAACTAGGGTAGAAACCCCTCCTTCCTCTACAATACGAAGAGCATTGCCAGGATTAAAAGCAAGATTCCAAAGAGCTCCTGCAGCAGTCTCGTGGACATCCTGAAAGTGCATAAATACATAAAGATTAATCCACATCCCAGTCCCACTACAATAAAAAGAACATCTTGACTACATAAACAATAATAAGTGGCATATCAAGCATCATAACAGTGCATTTCATGAAGTGAAGCTGTATACTATGATACCTGTAGCCCATGAATAACAAACCCACTAAAATCGCATGCAAATTCTGGATGGAAAGTGTTAAATAGCCACGAAGTTTAGGTAACCACTGTAAACTGCTGCAAGAAACAAATTTTCCTGGAACTTTGACCCTTGGCAGAGATAGAAGAGAACATTTATCTCTCTTGCAGTATCCAAGAAGAATCAAGCACAAAAAAGAATATCTGAAGAGAAAGCCCTTTCAATATTATAATAAACAATATAATAGGTCATACCCATTTTTGTTCTTCCAGAGTAAATATAAGTAGACATAATTTTGCGATTAATATTTATTAGGAAAAGATACAATTGTTATAACCCATGAACTGGCTTGCATTATGAACAAAGTTAAATGAATTGGTGATTGGACGACCCACCTTTTGTTAATTTTAAACACCAAAGCTAAAATTGAATCCTTTTGCTATTAACTTGATTAGCACTACAGTGTAACTAAATTGGTTAAAGGAGGAAGATATTGACTTATTTAAACTAGTCTGATATGATTAAAAATAAATAGAGTATGACTTGAAAACAAGAATTTTAGCAGTCCACAAAGCAAAAAAAGAAAAGAAAAAAGAGCCTGCACAAAAAGTTTAGAGTGGCATAAAGGGTATTCTTTACTGGGGCCTGCAGAATGAAAAGAAGGGAACTCGTTGATGTAAGAGCAATTGAATTAGTTTCACGATCATATTAGAATAAAAATAAATCAACAAAAGCAGGCATTGTTAAAATTCAAGTGCAAACTCAATTCAAGTTAGGTAAGAACTAAATAATTGACCAGATGTCATGTAAAAGAGAGCGAATGCCATACTTGGCTTGCACAAAAAGAAACCAATAGACAAATGAAAAGACAATAGTGATGATTCGCATATAAAATGTATACCTCGGCATCTGATCGTGCCAATGCTATTAGTGGTGCCACGCCTCCTTCACAGCCAATCGCAATACTATCAAAAAAGAAACATATCCATGATACATAAAGTTCTAGGTGTTAGGCAAATGTAACCTATACAATGATAGTGGCAACCATGATCTACCAATTAATTGAACATGAAACAAAATAGACGAGATGGTAGCTGTTTGCAAACAGCAAACTCACTGGTCTAAATCAAGCCTAAACACATTTGTGGCAATTTGATGTGTAGGAATATCATCAGTAACTCAACAGCTGCTAAATATTGTTTCTCACGGCTTACTGTTTCTAGCTAAAGAAGTTTCGTCTTTTCATTCAGAGAATTGTGTGACTATTTGTCTTTTGGTATTGAAAGAAAGGCGAAGCTAAAGGGTCTATTTTCCCTATGTGAAAGTAGAGCTGGTTTTTTAGTTCAATTGGGTTGGGTTCGGGTTAGGAAATCAAATTTTAGGTCGGGTTGGGTTCGGTTCGGTTCCGGGTTATCTATAAAAACCCAATCAAACCCAACCCAACCCAACCCAACCCAATAAAATAATAAATATTAAAATAAAAATTATTACTTAAAACCAAAAACCTAAAAACTAATGATCAAAATTCTCTTCTGCCACACATCTCTTCAGCCTCTCATTACTGCTTGTGCCTAGGCTTCTCAATGACAGGTTTGCTGTGGCCTACATATTTAAGAAAAGAATATGAACCGAGTTTTGCTCGCTGTAAGTAATGAAAAAGCTTAAATGATCTGCTGAATATTGATTTATTATTATTTTAACTTTCAGATAAACAAGAGTAAGGACAAAGTTACTAGAAAAGGTGAACAACAGTGACCAATCAGTGTTCAAGCAATGTGAACATAAGAAAGAAGCCTGCTGGCTTACAAGTTACAATAGCAATAGTAGTAGAAATCTTACCTTAGCAGCTTCTGACTGAAGACCCTCCCGCCATGACCTAGCAAGATTAAGGAGAAGGTGTATGCCACCATCTCTCATAACTGCTTCGGACCTTCCAGTATCTATACTAGCATTTTCATCATCAATGACGACAAACGTTGCAAGAGCCGTGGCTGCCCTTTCTTGAACTTCCTCCTGGGCACTATGTGTGAAACTAAGCAACAAAGATGAGCCTTGGTTGAGCCAGAAATTATCTAAACCTGGTCGATTGCCCTCAGAAACACGTAGAAGCAAATGGGAAAGGATCCATTCCAGCCAATTCATGATCTCCTCTGATTCCCTATCCTTGGTTTTAAACTTTCTCCAACTCAAGAAAACATTTCTCTGATCCTCTGTAGTATCGGCACATAGAGCAGGTAGCCTTGTTAATGGAAGTTCACCAACTAGTTGCAGTAAGAGTCTTCTACCACTTCAGACTTACCTCTTTTCATCTATCCTACTGTAACTGAAATTTGTATTTGTACTAGGGTCCATCTTAACTCCACATATAAATTTTTGATATGCATGGCAAAAATTATGTTAAAAATGAATGGTTCTCAAATATTGTCATATAGATTTTGAATTTTTCCTGATTTCTTAGTTTGAAGATGCTGGAAGGAGTTATTATCCTAGAGCTTTGTGAATTGTGGATGAAAAATTAATTTATCTTTACTAAGACCAAGCTTAAGAAGGAAAATAAGTTGATATGCTGAGTCTGAAAATAAAAAAATTTAGATACATCTGCTAAGAATCATAATTGAAAATTAACATTTCAGGCTCATTCAATAGTACATTGAAGCATTTTATAAATCCATAGGACCACGTAATAAATTTCAAAGACAGAGAACGGAAACCGGGAATCCCAGTAAATAATGTGCTTCAGCAACACCACATGAAGGATCAAGGCAAAAAAAAAAATTAAGTGGATGGTAATACAGATGACATAATCGTATGATATGATAACATTATAAATGATTCATCGACAAACAAATTTTACAAGGAAACAGTGCGTCTATAAAGTATTTCATCATCGCTCTCATACTCCTCTTCTGATACAATCTCACTCCCAGGAAGCTCCAACTTGCCACCCATAATAAATGTTGGACCAAAACTCTCTGCCTCAATATATTCACCTTTCAATCTCTCTTCAAATCTCAGATCGCTACAATTGAGGAACCATGCGAGAGAACATCTAATCCCCTTGCTTTGTAACCTTTGGTACCTTGGTTTAATCCTTAGCTCCAAGCTATAAGTAAAGTACTCGGGGAACTCTACAAGCTCTTTCGCTGGTCTGCCCATTTCACTCTTGAAATAGTAATAACTGTTTTTCATGAGCCCAACTTGCAGAGAAAGTAATTGGGGACACTTAACGACCATTTTTGCCACATCATTAGCGGGAATACCCCGACCAAGAAAGAAGTCAACAGGTTTCATAATCACATTTTGCTTGAGGCTAACAATCTGTGGCATCTTTTCAATCACACGAGCAAATCCATCGGGATCAATCTTGAGCTTCAAGTTGAAAAAGAATTGTTGCGATGACAATTTAGCCTTCAAAGGCAATCCAAGAATTTGTGGATACTGTGCAATAACAGAAGCAAGCGCTTCTTTGCTAATCCCAAAACTCATCAAACAATCAACATTTGGTTTCACGGTTTCTTCAAGATCATATCCAAGTATATATGCCCGCTTCTCAAACATCCTTGCCAATATATTTTTCGGCAAACCCAATGAGACCAAATAATCCACGAGTGGCTTAATCATAGTACCAACCCTCATTCCCAAGAAATACGGCTATTGTGTTGCCATTGGGCCTATATCCCTTGGGTTTACCCCTATACTAACTAAATATGCTACAGAAGTACTCATTGTCCCCTCTAGCTTAAACCCTAATAACTCTGGATATTTCATCAAAACATATCCAATATCTTGCTTCTCAATATCAAGTCCCCGTAAAAACTTAACAACAGGTACAAGCTCCACCACCACGCTCGCGTGAAGGCACTGTGGATAATTCTTCAAAAACTCACCCATCCTCGCTCTCAGGATTCCAATCTTCTCTAAGTAGCCTAACACTGGGATTATATTTTTACGTACACTACAGCCAAGCATTAGTGGGTACTCATTAATGTCATCAATGGAGAGTCCTAGTTTCTGCAAAAACTCGACACGTTCACGCATTACTTCAACCGTTGATGGCAATTCAAGGTCCTCTAGTTCATCAGTAAGTATACCTATCGTTTTCAAATAGTCACAAATAATGACCCTGGATACGAGCTTTTCCTTTCGGCCTTGGATTACACCCCATGTAACAGAAGGCATCTCATATTCGGGGAATTTTGATGACTGGGTCGAAAAGTCTCTTTGCAGCAAGTGTTGAAAACATTCTTGAGGGTTTTGGAAAGGTTTAAGAACTGGAAAAAGACACGACCTTTTCGAGGTTTTGAATAAAATAGGCTGTAAAGATTGGATTTTTCTTAAAAGAGAGTTCATTTTTGTCAAATTTATGGAAAATGGATCAAAAATTGACTGGTGCTAAAATTTATCTACATAATACAAACCAAAATCCGAAATTTATTAAATTTCTGAAGAAAATTACACTTACGTGAAGAAATTCCGGCTGAAAAACTGGAGTTGTGCAGAAGGACAAAAGAGATGAACGGAGAATTTCAGCTCAAGTGAAATTGGGATTTCAGTTCGATTTATCTGCAAAACCGACGACGACCGGAGGGAATGAATGGGTTTTCACTGGGCTTATTGGTGGGATGGCTGAGGGGAAAAATTCATAAATAAAGGGTTTATAATTTGAAAATTTAAAAATCAGGATTTTTTTAATTTTTTATTTATGAAATAATAAATTATTAAATCAATTTATTATTAAATATTTAATTCTAATATAATATAATCCCACGTGCACCATTCATAACGCTCCGAGAACTATTCTGACGACAATTCCGACCACCACTCTTCTCCGACGATCGTTCAGGCGACTGTTCTGATTCCGGCGACTATTCTGGTGACCATTCTGGTCACAGATTTATAATTTACAGTTACAGTTTAAAAATTTTATAAGTTAAAATTAATTTGTAGGCCATATATTTCAAAATTAGTTGATCACAGATCAAAATTTATAGGTCACACAATCACAGATTTCCAAATTAATTGGTCACGAATTTTTTTACGATCATAAATTATATAATTTTTAGGTCACAGATAAAAAAAATAAGTTAATTTCATTGGTCACATATTTTCAAATTTGTTGGTCACTGATTATTTTTCAGTCACATATTGTCAAAACACGTGCACCATTCATAACGCTCCGAGAACTATTCTGACGACCATTCCGACCACCACTCTTCTCCGGCGATCGTTCCGACAACTGTTCTGATTCCGACGACTATTCTGGTGACCATTCTGGTCACAGATTTATAATTTACAGTTACAGTTTAAAAATTTTATAAGTTACAATTAATTCGTAGGTCACATATTTCAAAATTAGTTGGTCACAGATCAAAATTTATAGGTCACACAATCACAGATTTCCGAATTAATTGGTCACGAATTTTTTTACGATCATAAATTATATAATTTTTAGGTCACAGATAAAAAAAATAGTTAATTTCATTGGTCACATATTTTCAAATTTGTTGGTCACTGATTATTTTTCAGTCACATATTGTCAAATTTTTAGGTCACGGTTAAATACTTGGTCACAAATAANGGTCACGGTTAAATATTTGGTCACAAATAATCAAATACTTGGTCACATACCATTAGTACTACTTTAACTACCACCACCACACAAAATATTACCACCACCCACAGCTACCAAACAAAGCACGCCACCCCAACCGCTGATCCACCACCACATACGCCACCACACAAAACACCTCAGATTCCACCAGATCCCCAGCCGATCCAACAAAACAAATCGTCACACGGCACCACCATCTCCTGCAAGACCACCACCTTCGCGACCACCACCATCTGCAAAAATATCCAACTCACAACCTCACCAACATAACCGTCTCCACTGTCGATATAACCACTGGCGGAAACCATCACAACCACCAAGACCACCGCCAGATCCGCCATAGCCACCAACACAACTACCTGCGCAACCAATAAAAATCACCTAAAACCTCCTAACAGCACAAAAACACCACCACAATAACACCACAACCGCACCCAACCCCCACAACACCACCACCAACACTGCACACAACACCACGCCCAACCAAATCAAAAAAAAAAAGACGAAAAAGAAGAATAATGGATCGGAAACCAAAAGCCCACAGCTTCCACCTCCGCCGCCACTGCAACACCACCACCATAACAAAAAAAAACCTGGTGCCTGCACCACCACCACAACCAAAACGCGACACTTGCACTACCACAACAACAAAAACTGCGGTGGTGTCGAAGAGAGAGGAGAGAGAGAAGGCAGATCGGAAACTAAAAGCCGTTCTCAACCACCACCATCGCGATTTTGGGATCAAAATCGCTAGCTAGTCGACTTAGATTCGAGCGAACAGAACATCGCCTTGCGTGAAGATGAGTGCCGCCATCGCAGCGTCATCACCAATGCACGAGACACTCATAGAAGCCGCTCACAACGTCAACTCCCAGTGGTGACGCTACCGTGCAGACGATTCTCTTCCAAGGCGACGCCACTACTGTTGAGAGAGAGGAGAAAACGGGTGCGTTTAGAGGGAGAGAGGAGTGGGACGGGGCTGTTGAAATGATTTAGGTTTAATTAGGTTTTTAACTATTAATTCAATTAATATCTGATTTTTGATTAAATTAAGTGGTGGACTGATGGTGGGCTATTGCTAAGTTAATGGGCTAAATTTTCTTTTTAGGCAATTATTTTGGATATGGGCTTGGGTAGCACTGGGCTGTGCCCCCATATCCGCCCCAGGTATCAACTCGGAACTAATCCCACGATTTTAAATGAAATTATAAAGGGAACAATACATAATTAAGATGTTTAGTTTTACCAATTTCAAATTTAAGAACTTAAGTTTAAAATTTCAAATTTCAGATATTTTTGAAATTTATTTTGAAATTAATTAATTAAACATATATTTTATTAATTAAATATATTAAGGTCACAATTCCATATAATTTGGTCACAAATTCTATATAATTAGTCACATATTATTAATTTGTCACAAATCACAAATTTTACATGTTACAAATTATTTTAAGG